TAGCAGATGCTTATAGAGCTGTGAGTCTGAAGAGGGTGACCCTGCAGAGATGTTTGAAGTTTTGGCTGTGTCACCAGAACAATCTGAAGATTGTATCAGGTGTGAACTAGGGAAGAACTCTGTGTGTGTGTGTGTGTGTGTGTGTGTGTGTGTATACGTGCATGTGCACATATGTGTGTGTATAGGGGTGCAGGAGAATGTGGAACCAGGGCAGAGAAAACAGGCTTTGCCCAGCCCACTGGTTGGGGGAGACTAATTCTGGATCAGAGGTCAGATGAGCAACTCATCCTGGCTTTAGCACTAAATGTCCAATGTCCCAGGAAATCCCTCAGTCCCAGAAAACTCAGGATGATTGGGCACCTTAAAGGAAAGAAACAACCTGCAAGTGAGTCCAGGTTAAACCAGGCTGGTGATGCAGGGTCCAAGGTTCTCAGACAAGAGGAGTCTGCTGGGGACTGTGTGTGCATGCTGGGGGTGTCATGGTCAGGGTTGTGGGCAGAAGGTTACTTAAAACCAACTGAGAAGTGCAGAAAGGGGACAGCGATCCCTGATTTCTTCAGCCTCAATGTCTCCATTGGCACACCCTTGAATTTCTCCTACTGAAGTCCTGGTTTCCCGCTCTTCCTTCCAGCTTGCTCATTCTTTTGTTCTTATTGGTTAAAGCTGTGTTCTTGCCCTCAATGGAGAGCTCCCTGCAAGTTGGGCTTTATTGCCCCTGTACCCTGGTTCTCAATGGAAAACCCCCTACCCCAAGGCTCTACAATTTTTGTAGCACATCTTTTCCTTCCTTGAATCAAAATTCCTTGATAATATCATATATGTATGCATCCATCACTTAAAAAGTTACCATAAATGTGATTTAAATGAGCAATGAAAGAAAAGTAATTTGGTTGGTTTTCTTTCTTCTCTCTCTCTCTCTCTCTCTCTCTCTCTCTCTCTTTTCAGTCCTGGAGACTGAATTTAGGGTCTCACACATGCTAGGCAAGAGCTTTACCACTGACTGAGCTATACCCCAGTCAAAAATCACTTGTAATACACAGCATGCATTTCAACTGGATACTGCTGTGGCTTCTGACTACTCTGAAAGGAAAGTGTACCAGGAGGCAGAGTTTCAGAAAGCTGCCACCTTAGGCTCTGGGCATGGGTCTTTGCTGCCACCACTTAGTGGCTAGGCTCCTCTCTGAAGGCCTCCTGTACCCCTCAGATTTGCCTGGCCCCAGGGCACTGTCATGCCCACTTTGGAGCTATTTTTTAATTTAATTATTTAATTCATTTATTTTTGTGGGATTGAACCCAGGGTCTTATACATGCTAGCAAGTGCTCCTCTTGAGCCACGCCCCCAGCTCTTTTGTTTGTATTTTGATTTTTGAGATAAGTTTTCCTGACTTTGTCTGAGCTGGCCTTGAACTTGAGATCCTCCTGCCTCTGACTCCTAAGTAGCTGGGGTGTGCCACAGAGCCTGCCTAACTCTGGACCTTCCTATACCAGCCTTCCTGCTACATCGCCCTTCCTCCCCCACCCTGTATTTACCCAAGTTGCTCAAAATCAGGATAAAACCCCTAACTCTGTAAATTCAAGGCTGATACAGGGGATTTCTTTGTGATTTGGGCCCTGCAGCTGGACAGACCCAGACTTACCCCGGCCTTTCCTGACCTGGCAGTTATGGCAAATTACAAATCTAGTTGAGCAGCCCTTGGTTATGTAGGAAATGGCCTGAGCCAAGGGCTGACCACCTGCTTGAAGCAGACCTCTGTGGTGAAAGTCACACTCATAGGCCCCCAGTGTGTAGAGGCTGCATCTAGGATGTGGGGGAAAGAAAGGCAGGGGGAGTGGTCCTGCCTGCTCTGTTTTCTAGGGAATGAAGGAGCCCAGCAGGATTTAGAAAGAATGCTGAGGCTGGGACAACTGAGCTCTCCATTCTTCATACTCTCACGATGCTGTGCTTGCTTGTGGGGAGCACAATCAGCAAAGCCAAGTTGCATTTCCTGTTAAGTCTCAGATGGACTTGTAGATGAGGTTTTATTTCTCAGAGAAGACACATCCAGTTTCCCAGTATATCCCTCAAGCATGACTGTGACCATGTTTCTGGGGTGTAATCCCACAATCTTGGGTGAAGAGAGTGCTACTATAAGATGTAAGCCACCACAGATGCCTTCAAAGTTTTCCTGGAAAGGGCAAGTTTTCTCCATCTCTCAGTGATGCTTTGGGAACTCCAGAGGGCGTGTTCTGCTGGAGGTGAGCCCAGCCTCCATAGTAGAGCTGCAGAATAGAACACTACTCCTTTATGCTGCAGTGAGTGGGGACTGGAACCTTGCCATGGTTCTGATCAAGAGTCACGGCAGGGATACCTCGTGGCATTCATTGTCACTTTCTACAGAGCACTGCAGCATTAAGACTGGGGTTTGCAAGGGGATTGGACTTTGATCACATGATAAAGCAAGAGCACACAAGGGAGGGATGAGGATAGGTAAGACACTTAAAAAATTAGCTAGCATTTGTTGCCCTTAATGCAGAGAAACTAAAGCAGATACCTTAAAAGCAACTGAGGCCAATAGGAAAAGGGGACCAGGAACTAGAGAAAAGGTTAGATCAAGAAGAATTAACCTAGAAGGTAACACACACACACAGGAAATCAATGTGAGTCAACTCCCTGTATAGCTATCCTTATCTCAACTAGCAAAAACACTTGTTCCTTCCTATTATTGCTCATACTCTCTCTTCAACAAAATTAGAGATAAGGGCAAAATAGTTTCTGCTGGGTATTGAGGGCGGGGAGAGAGGGAGCGGGGGTGGGGGGGTAAGGGAGGGGACGGAGGGGAAGGGGGGAGAAATGACCCAAACATTGTATGCACATATGAATAAAATAAAAATTAAAAAAAAAACTTAATGAAAAGCAGAAAAAAAAAAGACTGGGGGTTGCAAGTACATTTTGGGTGAAAAGAGGGGATTTTTTAAACAGGACACAGAGATTATTCACAGATACAAAGAGCAAAAATGCAACTTGCCCCAGGAGGGAGCATAGGTTGCAATGCCCAGGCCACTGGCTATCAAACTTTTGCTATACTTGTGCAGAGAGCTTTTAAAAACCCTGATGCCTAAGCCCTACCTCAGAGCTGGTTTAATTGGTTTGGGGTTCTGCCTCAGCATTGGGGCTTTTTAAAGTTCCTCGAGTGATTCTCATTTAAGCTAATTTTGAGACCCCTGTGGTAAACTAATTTTCTGTCCTTTTGCCTGTTTGCTCCCAATCTTTGATCAATTCTAGTGCTCCTTTTTCAAGCTCAGGCTGCCCAGCAGAAGGAGGAGTTCACAGATGGACATTTGTGGAGATCAGCGCTGATACAGGGTCACCACGCTCAGCTGAGGCCTCTTTGAAGCCCTGAGAGTTGCTAGTTTTCCCCGGGTGGATCATTTCCCCACTCTTCTCTGCTTCTTTGTGCTGGGTCCTGTTGACAGGTCCCTGGATCCCCTTGGCCCTACCCAGACTCACACCCAGCCCCCACCCCACCATGCTTCCCCACCATGGTTCCAGTCTCTGCTCCTTCAGCCCCTGACAGAGGAGCCTCTTGGTGCTGACAGGGGAGGCTCATTCACCTTATATTAGCTGGACCAGTGTCCTCAGGGACAGGCTTCCAGTGGCTGCTTGCAGAGGCCATGTAGAGTCACCTAGAAGGTCAGACTTTGACCCATGGGATACAGGTGACAGGACACAGCCAACAGATTGTTTCTGGACTCAAGTAGTTTCTGCCCTTCTCTGGCACTCTTCTGCAAGACTAAACCCCTAGCTGTGTGTCATGGAGCTCTGGACAGCTTGTACCCCCTCTAACTACTCTTCTGCCTTCCTGTCTTACTTCATTCTCTCTCCTTGTTTCCCTGGGACTGTTCCTGCTTCCAACAAAGTTCACATGGAAGCTATTGTCTCAGGCTGCATTTACGAGGGAAGTAAGCTATGTTTTAATTGCTTTGTACTGTAACTTACAGAAAACCATGACCAAAAGTAGAGTGATCACCTGTCCTGGTTTGCCTGGGACATGGGGTCTTTCATTGCCAGAACCAGTGTTTTTTCCCCCTAGCTAGAAGGCTGTCCACCTCTAGCCTGCAAATTGTATACTTGCTGGTCCCTGCCACCCACTCTGATTCCATTGGAAGGTGTTCTTCATTCTCTCCACTTTAGAAAACAGGCTGGTATATTTCTGGTTACCCAGCAAATCCAGTTGAGTCATTTGTTCAGTACACATGTGTTGGGTGACAGGTTCTGGAAGGAGGAGGACACATAAAAGCTGGCACAGTGACCTCATAGGGGACGATGGTGGAATGGCACCGCTCAAACATTAGGAATAAAATGAAATACATGTTTCAGTCTGATAGATCGGGACTGATGCTTAAAGCTCCTACACTTCAAGAGTGAAGGGCATTGTTAGGCAGGAGACTAATCCCGGAGTGGAAGCAAAAGTCCCGTGTGAGAGCCAGGGCTGGGCGTGCTCCTCTCTCTAGGAGCGCCAATACCGGAAACCAGGAGGCGCCAGGGGAAAAGAGGGCTTTTGTTTTAATGGTTGCTAAGGAGACAAAATGAGATAATATGTGCAGTCTCACATATTACACTGTGCCTTAGCACAGTAGTAAACTTCGAAGCGATTCTGAAAGTTGTGTACATAATTGTCTCAGCTTTGGAGATGAAGAAAAGAGAGGAAGCAAACATTTGTTTAGAGGCCTCAGCACTACGGTGTCGGAAGACCGCACGCCTCCCTGGATTTGGCTCTTGTCCCTTCGCCTTGGGTCTGGGCTAGCCTTGATCATTTAATAATCTAGACTCGCGATGGGCGCCTGGAGCGCGAAAGCTCAGTTCCGGCCAGCAGCGAAGCGCACCTGTGCCGCGCCGGGCCCCGCCCCTCAAGGCCCCGCCCCTCCCTGGCCCCGCCCCCGCCGCGCCGCTGCTTCCGCGCACGTGACCGCGCGTCGCGCTCTGATGCGTTTTCCACGGCCCGCTCCTCCGCGGCCGCTGTCGCACCAGCTACGGCGGTGGCTGTGGCAGCGGTGGCTGCTGCGCGGCGTCGGGCCGGCTCGGGGCGCGCCGGCCGGGACCCAGGGTGGGGGACGCCGAGATGGAACCGTGAGTACCGAGCCGGCCGGGCTGCCTGCCGCGGGGCCACTGCTTCGTGTGGGGCTCGGGGGCTTCATGCACGCCTGGCGAGGGCTTGGCGGAGCCTGATGACCGCGCGAGGCGGCGGGTGGGTGGCCCGGACCCTCCCAGCTGGAGTGGGACCCGGAGACGCGGTGTGGGTCGGGGGCTCTGAACTCCTCCCGCAGAGCTGGGTCGCGCCCCCTCCCGGGGACTAGGGGGGCGACTGCCTCGGAGGCGCTTCCCGGAGGCGTTTGGTGACGTGGGCGCCCTGGAGCCGGCACAGCCTGGTTGAATCTGTGGATCCTGAGTTTTACGAGTTTTACCATCTGCTGACTTTGGGCTCAAGCCCTTCTAAGATGTGTAGAGGTTTTAATGAGGAACACCTTGCCGGGGCCCCAGGGACGCCATCCCTAAAGTTTTGGACGCAGCAAAGTCACCTGGGTTCGCGCAGGGGTGGAGCTAAGTGGAGAGGTGCGAAGCTTCAGATCGCGAGTGGCTGGAGTCGTCCGCGGCGTGGAGTTTTCATGGCGGCCTCGTGTGCGATCGGAGGCTTATTTGGGATTGTAGAGGCAGAAAATTACATAGGAAGGGTTGCCTGAGTGCAGTCACTTGTGGTGGCAGGTCACTCCACCCAGTCCTTGCTTCCTTAGAAGTTTGACTTGGTCACTTTGCACGTGCTGGAAAACCCAACTGGCATAAAATGTTAGATTCTGGTGGCTGGTGTAAAGATCTTTCTTTTAATTGCAAACCAGGTGGAGGTGAGTTAGCAGTCCGCTGCACATCTCCAGAGATTGCATTCACTTGTGGTCCTTGCCACCTCTTATAACGCCCAGGGAATGGTGCCTTCTGGAGTTGTGGCCCTGTAGCAGAGTGGCAGCTGTATGTCTTAGGGGGCTTCTCACAGGCCGCAGCTGGAGCCTGTTAAGCCTCAGCCCTTTCTGTGGGAAATTGAAAGGCAGAGGATGTCAGAGGGTTGGACCTTGGCCAGGCCTGGAACTCAGGTTTCCTGCCTATACTTACTGTCTGTTACAGGACAGGGAACTAGACCAAAGGGAAGCCATTAACCAGGGAAGGGTCTCGGGGGAAGGAAGGGACTGCAAACACAGCTTGAATGAAAGGTTCATCACCCACAATTTGGTGGTGGGCCAGTCATGGGTACTTGTTCTCATTTGCTGTCCTGGAGGTGTGGCTCAGACTGCTGGGTAAGGGGTGGGATGGATGTCTGGAGGTCAGACAGCCACCATTGTCAGCTTCACAGTGACGCTGACCTGGGAATAAAATGCTACAAAGTCAAGCCTGAACTTCTGATGCAGGTCCTGGACTTTGGTGCCTCATAGGGTCAGAATGCTCTCAGGGATGAGAAAGGGGACAAGGGACAGGAACAGGAGGGGAAGCCTGGAGAAGGAAGGGGGTGGAGAGAATGAGAGAAAATAGAAGTAACTGCCTGGGGGGGCGAGAGCAGCACAGCATAACACTTAGAGGCTGGGACAGCCCCATTGCAAATACTGCCCCGGGACTTACCTGCTCACATTTGACTCAGTTTATTCTAAGTGAAAAGCTAGAAAGATTGCCTTCAGATCCAGTCAGAAGAAAGAGTGCCCAGTTCTTAAGACTTCACCCTGGAGCTCCCAGCTACTCCATCCCTCTCTGATAATGGTAGGAACAGGGGAGATGCCAGACCCCTGGGATGGTGTGGTGCCTCTGGAACAGGGCTTTCTGTTTGAGCTGCAGGGCTACATGGAGCTGGGACTTCCTCATATTCATTATTTGCTTTGCTCTTATGGTGGCATTTCTCTGTTGATTTCAGGTTGGCATTGTGTGTGCCTTGGCACTGCAAACCATTTTTAAAAATTTATTTTTTGGGTGGTACTGGAGTTTGAACTCAAGGCCTTGGGTGCCTAGTGGGCACTCTACCACTTGAACCACTCCTCTAGCCCTCAAGTCAGTTTTTATAACAGCGCATTTTACATGTCTCTGTCATCCCGGGGGCATTTTTGTGCAGATGTATATTAGACTCTTAGTGAAGGGTGGACAAGCAAGTTAAGCACAGTGGAGCCTGCTATGGCTTGAGGGTTCGAGGCCTGCCAAGTCTCTCAGTCCTGAGGGGACACCAGGCTCTGATTAGTATTCTGTCCCTGTCACTGTGAGTTATTCAGGATCATATCTTTTCAAATCATTTTTCTTTTTTTGGCAGTACTGGGTCTTGAACTCAAGGCCTCATGCTAGCTAGACAGGCGCTCTACTGCTTGAGACACACCTCCAGCCCTTTTTTGTGATGAGTGTTTTCAAGATAGGGTCTCTCGAACTATCTGCCCTGGCTGGCTTCGAACCTCAGTCCTCCTGATCTCTGCCTCCTGAGTAGCTAGGACTATGAACATGAACCAGTGTCTCCCAGCCAGAATAGTTGTTTTTTTTTGTTTTGTTTTGTTTTTTGTGGGGGAAGGGGAGCAGTGCTGGGGTGTGAACTCAGGGCCTCAATGTTCTACCACTTGAGCCACTCCCCCCAGCCCAATATTTTTTTTTTTTTTTTTTTCTGGATCAAAATAATCTCTAGAACTAAAAGACAACTGTTTGGGTATTGGCTGTGGATCAGACCCTGTTTATTACTGCACACCATCAGTTCATGACCCTCCCATTAAGAAGTTTCTCTCAACATTGCCATTTTTATAGATGAGGAAATCGGGCTGGAGAGGTGTCATAAGTTTCTCCAGGTCAAGACCTAAGGCCCAGCTGAGAGGTCAAGCTCCAGAGCCTGTACTTTTTTTTTTTTAACTTTTTATTTTTTTGGTGGTACTGGGGTTTGAACTCAGAGCCACTCCGCTGAGCAGAGCCCACCCTCTTGACCACTGCAGTTTATTCCCATGCAACAATCGCGGGCAGCTAGTGCTGTACAGCAGGGCTTTCAGTAATAACACATCTCATCGTCAAGGCATCTCTGGGGTGGGTCTCTCTTTCCTGACTGTTACACTTCAGGACCTGGAGGTAAACTGCAGAGAGGTGAAGCAAGTCAGATGCGAGTTGGCACACTTGATCCCAGTACAGGCAGTGTGTGGCCTGAGGGACAGCAAACAGCAGCCCAGTGGCCCAGACCTCTGGCAGGAAGGCCTCTCCACCACCGACCAGAAGGGTGACCTGGGGTGAGTCACTCCACCTCTCTGAGCAGGTGCTCAGGAAATGTCAACTTCTACCCCTTTCCAGCATTGGTTGAAACTGGAGGAGGGATAGTGGTTTCTTTTTTGTTTTGTTTTTATTGTTGCTGTTTCTTTGTTTAATGAGCTTTTTTTTTTTTTTCTTGTTGGTACTGGGGATTGACCATTTGAGCTATGTCTTCGGCAGTGGGTCTTTAGAGAAACTGTGCCTGTGAAGACTAAAATTTTTTCAGAAATAAGAAATTAGAGAAACTGGGCATAGTGGAGTATACCTGTAGTCCCAGCTACTCGGGAGGCTGACGCAGGAGGATCACTTGAGCCTAGGAATTTGAGGTCAGCCTTGGCAGCAGAGTGATGGAACAGAAAGTAATGGGAGGAGAAAATGCACAATTATTACTAACAATAACTGACACGATTGAGTTCTTTACATTTTTATCTCACACCTCCCAGCAACCTTGTGACTATTCTGCTTATTTCTTTTTTTGCTAGATGAGGAAACTGAGGCCCTGGGAGGCTACTTCACTTACTCACAGCTGCCTGGTAGAAAGTGGGGAGCCAGGCTGAGAGGCAGCAGGCCTCGAACCGAAGCAGAGATTGTTTTTATGCCAACTGTGAAAAAATAAAATCTTAGCTAAAATGTGAGAGTGCGCTGACAGATTTAAGATCCCTTTCCACTGTTCAGATGTTAATATTTAAGCTCGAAAGTGGGGAATCTGGGTATCAGCTGAACAAGTCGCAGATTGGTAACACTGAAGTATTTTCAGTCTTGTCCCAGTTTTGTACAGTGGGTAGTCTTGTCAGAATACCCACTGTATTCTGTATTAAAACCTTTGCTTGCTGGGTGATGGCTCAGGCCTAGTGCTGCTGTCATTTGGGTGCTGTAGAGGGAGTGATTGGTTCTGGCTCTTCCCTCCTGTTAAAGCCAGCACCCTGAGGTGCTCCCTCACATTCTCTGCTCACCTCTGTCTTATGGCCACTCCCCTCCTCTGAGTCAGACACATCAAGTGTCTCACCCTTTCTTCAGGGCTGTTGTATGTTTTTTTGGACTGTGAGGAGTTCACATGGGAGGAAAAAGGGCTGAGCACATGCCTAATGGTGGCTGCAGGGCTCTGAGCCTTTGAGCTGGGTTAATGGGAGGGACACGGGCTCTCCAGCTCTGAGCCGGGATGCGTGGCTTAACCTCAAAGACTGCAGTGGGTGCTGACAGATAGCCTTTTGGACCGAAGTGGCATAGGCTGCTTTGCCTGCCTCAGATGTAGAGGACAAAGTAGAGCCACAGACACCATTAAAAGATGACATGGGAGAAGAAAGTGTCATTCCTTTATCATGGTTTGAAGCATGGTAGAACACAGAGGAAAGAAGATGACTAGGAAAGTGAGGAGAAATTCAGGGAACTGAAAGTTATCCATTGTCCACGTTCGTAGGACACACTCGGCACTGGAAGTGGGGGCAGCTCTGCGTTGGGGAGGATATGGATGTGGTGAACAACTGGTCACCCATAGTAAATTCCTGAGACAGGCTTCGGCACGAGTCCTGCAGGTGAAGAGATGGTTGTTCTCTCTGAGTGACTGGGGTCCCTCACCTGAGACAGGGTGGGAACAGTGAATGGGATGGAGTGCCTGAGAGTGGCAACAGGAAGGGCAGGGCTGCTAGCAGGGATGGTTGTTGACTGTTGTACATTCTAAAAGGACAGTGCTGGGTACCTTGATATAGGAGGTTTTACATGCCTGTGTGACTTAGTATCTTGAGTTTCATTTTTAATTTTGGTTATGGAGGGGTATGTATAACCATGGGAAGGTTTTGGTTTTTATAGACTATCTCATGAAAAGTGGTCACTGA